TTCTAAGACATATTGATTTTTATTTTTCTTATAAATCTTTTACAATTTTTCACAAAAAAAGAAAAAAGTTCGGTTTTGGTTTTGAAAGAAAAGACTTTCAGTGTCCTCTCCTATTGTTATTTCTTTCTGATTCAGGGTAAGTAAGATGGGTTAGCTTTGAATTTTGGTCAACTGTTCAATGGAAATTTGAGTCATCCAGGCCACGTTTTTGTTGGGTCCGTTGTAGGGGTGAGTAGATATAGGTTTGGATTGGGCATTTACCTGCATTTGCTCTGAACAGTTACATATATAAGGTTTTAATACTTAAATATTAAAAATTTATATTTTTTATTCAACTTATTAGGTATAGATATACCGAAAAAGGTATATTTGTATATGCTCATTAAATATTATAACTTTTTATACAAATTAATATATAATTAAATTTATTTCAAAACCAATTTTTAGTTTCTACATAGTACCTATATATAAATACATAAATTCATATTTATAACAAAATATATAAATTTAAATATAAATACAAGTTCATACATATAAAAACGTACATGAGTACTTATATTTATAGATAAACAAATTTTAACTTTCTCTTTTTAAATACAAATAAAATATCTACTTAAACAAATTAGATACTCACAAGTATCACATATACATATCATACACAATACTCAGCCCTAGTCGGTAGAGGCTAAAATGGGTTGCGCACTAATAGGGCTTGGTCAGATGGATTGGAGGCAATTGGACTGGGCTTATTTGACTTTGTATTATTGTATAACCCATGGACTTAGTGATACTACAGTAGTATTATTATTTTTTTGGAGGAAGGTTTCCACCCCATGGGATGACGGATGAGAGACATACCATAAGTTTTTCTCTGGACTTCCTTCCTGGCAAATGGGTTCACCATCACCAATGGATTTCCTCCTATCCAAATGGATTTCCTCTAATCCACCCTTGTGATAAATCATAGTGAACATTAATTTAAAGTAACGAGAAAGTGATGTACGAAGAAAAACGAAGTAACGACAAAGGATTATTTTGGCTTGGTGGTACAATGATGTGTAATTGAACGCGGAAGCCAATAGGGAAATGGAACGTGCTGAAATTCCTACCAGAGGTTTGTTTAGAATAAGATGTGTAATTGAGCGCGGAAGCCAATAGGGAAATGGAACGTGCTGAAATTCCTACAATAGGTTTTTTTTTTTTTTTGACAAGGATAATAGTTATAAAGTTAGTATGAATTAGTTGTTAACAATTAATTTTTAGATTGAATGAATATTTCACCCCCTCAAATGAGGTGCACGGCCATCAGACCGCTTTTTGGTGGAGTTCACGATGATAATGGAGTTCGAAATTCCGACCACCTCACCCAAGCACTTAAGGCTTGGAATCAAATTATTGGGACTAGAGGTCCAGTTCTCCTACAAAAGGTTTGATTAGAATAAGATGTGTAACTGAACGCGGAAGCCGATAGCGAAATGGAACGTGCTGAAATTCCTACAAGAGGTTTGATTAGCATAAGATGTGGACCACCGATGTTGAAAACAACAACTCGATTCAATTTCTATAAATACATGCAGATCTGCCACATCAATGTATACCAAATGAAAATGAGTCCTTTTACCTCCATGGCTCTTCCCCTGCAAGCTTCTGTCCCTGTTGCAGCTATTTCGAGTAGACTTCCATTTCCTTCATCACGTACCAAACGCTACGCTCCTAGTCGAGTAACTGCCCTGAAATTGTCAAATGAGCTCACTATGAGGAGATCTGCAGATTACAAGCCTCCTATCTGGAGCTTTGAAGACATTCAGTCTCTGAAAGTTGATTACGTGGTATTGTATACAGTTATTCTTACTCATTATATATTTTTGCTTAATTAATGTTCTTTTTTAACAAAACATTTAATATATAATTAATTAAGCAGGAAGAATCATTTAGAAGGCACGTCAACAAGTTGAAGGAAGATGTTATAGTGATGCTAGAAGAAAAGGAGATGGACAAGGTTCCTTTGCAACAACTCGAGCTCATTGATACGTTGCAAAGGCTTGGATTATCTTACCATTTTGAGAATGAAATCAACAGAATTTTGGAGAAAGTATACACAAATAATCAGGGTTATTATTATGGCTTTGAAAGAGAGAGTTTATATGTGGTTGCGCTTGAATTTAGAATTTTAAGGCAACATGGGTACAAAGTACCTCAAGGTAATCAATCTCAAATTTTCTTATGTTGTAAATTTATCAAACGGCTAATTGATGGAAAACTACTCAAATCTTGTATTTCTTTGCAGAGATATTGAAAAGTTTCTTAAATGAGAGTGGAAACTTCAAGGCTTGTCTCAACATGGATTGCAAAGGAATTCTATATTTGTATGAAGCTTCATTCCTTTCACTAGAAGGTGAAAGTACACTGGATGCAACTAGAACTTTCGTGAGAAAGTATCTTAGTGAATATGTTAAGTTAAACGAAAGCAAAAATCCTTACCTTTCAACACTTGTGGAGCATGCACTGGAGTTTCCACTCCGTTGGAGAATGCCAAGGATGGAAGCAAGATGGTTCATTGAGGTTTATCAACGAAGTCCAGATATGAACCCCCTCTTGCTTGATCTTGCCAAGCTGGATTTCAACATGGTGCAAGCGAT